TTTGAGATACAACACAAAGTTGTATTTTTTAAATACAAACTATAGTAGATTATGGTGTTACTGAAAAGAGCATATTTTTAGCTTTCCAATGATGTATTGCACGCATGGTGTATTTGGGGAAAATAAGCGTTATTTTTTGATTCTAAAATATTAAAGATAAAAATTCAAAATTTTAATTATAGTAGGCGAGGAAAATGTTAAATGCCACTTAGTTACTATAGTAACGTGAGTTTACTGATCATTACATTCATGAATTTTTCGAAACGAGTTTCCCGCTTAAAAATTCCTCATTATCTTTAAATACATAAAGCGATAAAATTAAAAAAATTATTCTTTGAAAATGATAGATAAGGCTCCATATCCCATATAAGCATCGTTTCAATGGAAAGTCAATTTCAAAAGAAAAGGTTGCTAATATGAAAAAACTTCTAAATCTCATGGTTGGGGAAAACTGGGAAGATACTACCGAACATTTCATTCATTGATACCCAACTTACAACCTTACAACCAATAAGTTTAGTAGAAGATGACACAGTCTGTGACTGTTTAGTTCCTGAAGTTGTTGTTCATATTTAATTATTCATTAATTAATACGTTGCTTGTATTTTTAATAAACATACTTTATCTACAAATAATATTTTATTGGTGAACNCTTTCTTATATTGAGGTTATGTCTGAAATGTCTATCAAGTTTATTTTTTTTCCTTTTTTTGAATTTTTTTTCAAAATTAAATAGTTGTAGATAAAGTATAGTATTCAACTTGCGTATAATGGATGTTACCCACTCAGATTACTGTGTTACGTAACAGCCGCCATTATACGCTTGTTGAATAATATACTATTATCTGTGACCTTAAATTGACTTTTCTCACACAACCAATTCAAATTGAGAAATATGCAGCCAGTAAATAACATATGTTGCTGCGTGACATGTATCAAGATGGATATGGCTTGCTATGATTCCATATAATTCAAAATACGACCATGATTTAGTAGCTAAATGATACATATCGAATGTTATGTTAACATTAAAACACTTGCTATTTTCTGTAAATATTTTTTTATCTAGTGCTTTATTTCCCCGACCAGTGGAAGACTTTTTCTCATTTATTGATCCACAAGAACAGGTATGTTTAATTTTATTTTTTTTGTATTGCTAGAAACTATTTTTTTTATGAATTATTCTATAGTACTATGAATCATGCACTGGACAAAGAAGCAATAAATGGTTGTCGTATTGTAGATCTAGCATACGTGCTGCAGTATAATAACTAATAATATACGAGTCGAGAGAGATCCTAAAGGGTTTTCAGCTGCTTCTAAACTTTAGCATTACTGTCTATGATGCATGTTTGATTTCCATGATGCTACTCATACTAGCAATAAATTAGAGATCCAAGGCCAACTCAATATTTGCAATAGAGATTATGCATATTTCGTAATTGNTATTCTGTCATATTCGTGCAAAACCATATAGCAATTAGGCAGTAATTACTGTCCGAACCCGCCTACTATAATCAAAATTTTGAACTTTAGCGCTTACTATTTTGGAATTGAAAATTACCGCTTATTTTCCGCAAATACACCATACATGCAATACATCATTGGAAAGCTAAAAATATGCTCTTTTCATTAACATCATAATCAAGTATACTTTGTATTTAAAAAAATACAACTTTGTGTTGGATCTCAAAAATCATCAAATATTTTTAAAATTTTTCAAAAATAACGTTGTCAAAAATAACAACGTATCAACCCCATTTCTCTAATTTCAAAAATAAACGAAATATGAGCATTTTTTGAAATCACGAAAATTTGACTTTTTGGCTATAACTTAAAAACAAAAGAAGGTAGAGGTTTGGTGTTTGCGGGATTGGGTTAGTCTCGAAAAAAGAGATCGGGACATGGCACCTACTTTTTTCGTATCTCTTATAGTTTCTGAGATAGCCTATAATAACACCCAAATTTGCCCACCCTGTA